AAAAAATATGGGACTTGGGCGTATGTCCGGAATCGAATTCCGAGGTCCCAAGCCCGAGAAATAAATTTTTGAAAGAAATTGTTTTCTGAAAAATATAAAGGTTTTTTTAAAAGTGAAATGTTATGTGAAACCTGTGGTATCGGGCCCGTATTATGGTTCCGGAGCCCGGTACAAGTTCAATATGATTTATATGTGTTGTCGGTAAAATTTGGTAAGAAACGGACTTGAAACGACGTGAATCGGATAGTTATTGAGAAAATTGGAAATTTGAAGTCATGAGAAAATTTCATGATTTTGATGCTAAATTCATAGTTGTTGATATTATTTTAGTGATTTGAATGCACGAGCGAGTCTGTATGATGTTTTTAGGGTGGTGTGCATGTTTGGTTTGGAGCCCCGAGGGCTCGGGTGAGTTTTGGATAGGCCACGGGGTGAAATTTTGGACTTAAGGAATTGCAGGTCTGCAGGCTTCGCATTTTCCAACCTCCCTTCGCAATTCCTAGCTCGCATTTCCCAACCTCCCTTTGCAATTCCCAGTTCGCATTTTCCAACCTCCCTTCGCAATTCCCAGTTCGTATTTTCCAACCTCCTTTCGCAATTCCCAGTTTGCATTTCCCAACCTCCCTTCGCAATTCCCATAACTGCAGCTTCCAACTTTTTATACTTAGCCGAAAAACAATCCCTTTACACATCTTTTCAAAACAAAAACTCCCTAGGGCAATTTTCCAAGAACAACTCTTCTTCCAAATCGATTGTAAGTCAATCCTTACTAGTTTCGTTCAATCATTAACATCTTTTAACATGATTTCAACTCAAAATTAATGATTTTCATGGAAAAAATTGGGTGTTTTGGGTAGAACCTAGGTTTTTCAAAAAAAAAGGATTTGGACCTCGATTTGAGGTCCCATTTCAAAGAAAATTATATATTTGAGTTCATAGGTGAATGGGTAGTTGGGTTTTGATTCGAACCTCGGGTTTTGACCATGTGGGTCAGGGGCTGATTTTTGGCTTTTTGGGAAAGGCTTTAGAAAACTTATTTCCATGCATTAGAAATTATTTATTTGGCATTCATTGATGTAAAGTAACTTGTGACTAGATATGAGCGAATTGGTGGTGGAATCACGAGGTAAAGCTATAGTTGAGGCTTGAACTGAGTTCGTGGCATCGATGTAATTGTTTGGTCTAACCTTAGCTTTAGGGAATAGGAGTTTGATCTTGTATGCTACATGTTATGTGTTGAGTACGACGTATAGGTGTGGTGACGAGTATCTATACATCGATGTCGTGCATGACCGTGAGTCTTAAAAGGAAAGTTATTGTGTTATTGTGTTATTGAGAACTACTACGAGTTCTTGACTCTCTGTGTTGAGCAAGGTTTATAATTATTCTCGTAAAGATTACTCATGGTTGAGCATTTGTGTTAGTTGAGGTAGTAGATGTTGGAACAAGTTTGGTTATAGCTGATTTTCCCTTGCCGGGATGTGTTCATTCTTATTGTTGACTCCCTTGCCGGGATAGTGTAGTTCTTATTGATCCCTAGCCGGGACTCTTGTTATGGTTGATGTTGATTGTATATTTTTATCGGGTTGCACGCCGCAACAATGATATATTTGGATCGGGTTGCACACCGCAACAATGACATATTGGATCGGGTTGCACGCCGCAACAATGATATATTTGGGTTGGGTTGCACGCCGCAACAATGAGATATTTGGATCGGGTTGCAGGCCGCAACAATTATATGATTGGTTCGGGTTGCACGCCGCAACAGTGATAAATAATATGGATCGGGTTGCGTCGCAGTAGTGTTGTCACATGTTGGGATCGGGTTGCGCGCCGCAACAATTGTTGATACCAAGTGTTTATGGATTGGATACAAGTTCCTTAGTGTTTCACTGTGAATTCTAAGTTGTCCTTATGCCTTTATTCTTGACTTACTGTTGATACTGATATACCCTGCAGCATGTACCCCCTCCCATCTTTACTTGTTTATTCTTGTTTTATTTTCCGCTGTATATTATATAACTGCACAGGATTTATTTGGTAGTCTGGTCCTAGCCTCGTCACTACTTCACCGAGGTTAGGCTAGGCACTTACCAGCACATGGGGTCGGTTGTGCTGATACTACACTCAGCACTATTTTGTGCAGATCCCAGTGCTGCAGATTTCGGACCTCAGTGAGGTTTCAGCTTCTTGCTTACCAGGCGACCCGAGGTAGTCCTGCAGGCGTGCGCAGGCCTTAGTGTCTCCCTCCATCTATTTTTTTTTTCCTGCTTCTCTTATGTAGTTCTGGAGACAGTATTTTGTTATTTCTTTCAGACCCTTATTTGTAGTACTCTTGGACAGTCTGTGAAGTTGTGACACCAAATCTTGGGTGGTTTTGTTATGGGATGGTATTATCAGTATTGTTAAGTTACAATTTATTTCTTCCGCGTTTTAAATTATGTTGCTATAAACTGTTGATGCTAAGTCATTAAATAAAATAAAAAATGGAAGACAAGTCAAATAGTTCAGTTAGTTGGCTTGCCTAGCTTTCACTAGTAGGCACCATCACGACTCCCGAGGGTAGAAAATCCGGATCGTGACAGTATACGGTCCAGCTTGTAAAGCCAAATCCCTTTCCTCAATGTTTTGGAATATAAAAATATAGTATCCTTCATCATGATAAAAGATTTGGGACTTTTCAACAAAATTCCAAACATTAGTAATGTAATTGTCCATTGATTTCTCATAAGGATTATCACCCAAAACATACCAAATCAGCACTGTACTCCAGTAAATTTCCTGTTCCATTGTATCTTCTGTTTCAATTTGCACAATGAACGTACCTTCTCGTATAGCAGGGGGAACATAATTCAATATCTTACCCATTTGTGAGCTTCGATTCTTATGCATGGTAGGTACTTCTTCCTTATTTCTAATTTTCTCTGAAGGTGCTATTGCTGAAGGAATTTGTACAGTATTTCGTGCTGTTGAAAATTGCAATCGTCGATGAACTGTCTCCATATTTTCCTTCATTGCAGATTGTTCCCCTTCACACTCAATTTCCTCCATAATTGGTTGAAATTTTTGTGACAGAAAACTTCCAAACGTCAATGGTATCAGTTTCTGTTGAATTCCGGTGTCCGGCGTAACTGTCGCTCCATCAATTTCCACACCTTGAGCTGGATTGTGAAAGACTGTGGGTGCACTTCCCACACCCGTTAGCCATCGCCTAGGTTGAGATTGAGCTGGTGTTTCCATGTTTCCTTCATTTTCCTTTGCTTCCGTCGGTGATGGAAGCTTCTTCCTTTGTCTAGTCATGGCAGAAGCGTACGTTAGCTAAACCTTGCTAAACATGCGCCTCAGAGCGCCTCTAAAAAGTTTATGTTTGGCCAATTCATTTAAGTATTTTTTTTGTAACATTTGATAAACAAATTGTGTTTGGCCAATCTTTCTAAAAAGTGCTTTTGAGTGTCAAATTACCAAAAAAGACAGTACAAAGGTCTTATAGTTATTTTAAAGAGAAAAATAAACTTAAATATTTATCGTAAGATACTTTTATTATTTTTTATTTTATTTAATTAAAATATGAAACATAAAGTAAACATACATATTAAAGATTTAAATCAATTTTACATATATAGTTATACCAAAACATATAATATTATCTTGTATAATTACTTATTGTTGCATGATGATTTGAATAATCAAAATACATCATTCCATATGTAGAAATCTATTCCACAAATTACTATATATTGATAATCCACCATGAAATAATAAATAAAGTCACTTGCATGTGATAACATTTCTCAATAATTTCATCTCTACTTCCATCGCACAACACCTCCATAGTAGTAGAAGACTTGCCTTGCATTTCTAAAGGAATACCAGAAGGCTCATCTCCTTCCTCCGTCTCTGAAGTAATGTCTTTATTAGCATAATAGTTGAATTTCTTATCGGTAGAAGAATATTGTCGGATGAAATTATGTATAGCCATGGTAGTTATAACTAGATGATTCTGAGTGTCAAACTTAAATGATGGCATTTAGCGTAAAATAGAAATATAATTTTAAAGATCGGAAGAGCANTACAGTTATCAAAACAGTCAATCTCAAGGCACAATAACAAATGGGATAGATGATTTGCAGTCAAGGATACAACCCCATTTTTAGATGTAGCTATCTTCTACCACAAAAGGCATGTTCGGTCACAAAGTCCAGATACCAATCAATCAGAACAATAAATAGAGAAATGAAAGAAAATTCAAGGGTTTTTAAAAAACAAAACCTAGAAAACATGGACTACCCACATCCAGAGCATGGTTTTATCTGTTCCGGCACATGATTCCTTATGACACATAAAACAAGCTATGAAAAACTCATTGCATTATCTCATAAAGAACTACTTTTTCCTCACATTAGCTGCTACCTTTCTGGTAAGAAATTTTTTTGAAGTCTTTACATTAGCTGCTACCTATTTCAGCTAACATCTCAAACCTCTAAAGCTACCTTACTAAAACTACTCCCAGACAGATTTAACATAGCATTATTACTAGTTGCAAAGTGAATTTTTCAAACACTTTCTGATCACATTTAACAACAAAATGGAATCAATTTATGATGCTTTTAATGTAACATGTTAAAAATGTAATATTTCTTCAAAATAATTAAGAAATTGATGCCTGAATTTGAACTGAAAATTAGTACAAATCATGCCATTCTTTTTCCTAACAAGAATTAACTTATGTTTCACAATACTTTCATATCCTATCAAGTTATCTTCTCCTCTGACTTATGTTTGACACTGCTTAGAAAGCCTGTTGGACGCAGAGTATTCAAGAAAAAAGCCCAATTACAACAAAAAAATTGAAAAAAAAAAACACAGAATGAGCACATATTATACTCTGATTTATATATACATTGCCATCTGGTGGACATCCCTTTTAGCGCTATTTTATAACTATATCATTACATTCAGCACAAAAAACTAAAAACCACAGAAGAAAAACAAAAATAAAAAGGTAACAATCCAGATCACATATGTCACGCTCATATAAACAAACTAAAGCATATAATTTCATTCATATAAAAGCTTCAGAAGAATGAACGAAAACAAAGTAAAAATTTACTCTCTTCTCGCCAAGGAAGTTACGGATCTCAATGGACTTGTTACCACCGGTGATGGAGGCATTGATGGGGAAGTGAGCATACACGAAACGCATCTTGTAGCGGTAACCTTTGGTAACACCAGTGATGAGATTCTCAACATGGCTAAGAGCAGTACGGATAGCAGCGGTAGTCTTACGAGAACCAAACCAAGCGTCGATCTTCAGCTTCTTCTTGCCAGTTTCCTCGTCCTTGATCAGCTGAAAATCGAGGTTGAGATGCTTGAAGTTTCGGACAAGTTTGCCCCTTGGTCCCTCTACTTCGATTTGCTTTGCCTTCACCTTGATGCTCACGCCGTCGGGGATATCCATGGTTTCTGATGACAGTATGGTCTTCATCTTGTCTTAGTTTCTCTGTATCGCTCTCCCTCTGTGTGTGTGTGTGAAAATGGCGATCGCTAAAACCCTAGCAGCGATGTGAAACCTTAGAGAAGGAAGAGCTCTTTAATATGCTGTGGTACTTATTGAAACCCTAGCTGTGATGGGCCTAATTACTATTAGAGTCCGGAGGCCCAACCCAGTCAGCAGGCCTATGTGACCCAATTTTTTCACCAGACCATTTTTATTTTGGGGTTTTGACACAGTTACCCACAAAAACAAAACTATTTACCCTTGTCTACCCATTTGTTTTTCTACCCATAAACTAATTACATTTCCTACCCATAGTAGGTTTTGTGGGGAATTTTCTCTTTATTCTCCAATTCTTTTTTATTTCTATGCTTCTTTTCTTTTCTTTTTCTTTTCTCCTTTTCTTTTTTCTTGTTTTCTTCTTATTTTTTTTCTTTTTTCCTATTCTAATTTCATTTAACTTCTTTTTTTTATATTCTTTTTCTCTTCATAATCTAATTTCATTTACTATTTTCAGTATTTTTTTTATATTATTACTAAAGAAAAATAAAATTGCGTACCAATTAAATGTAGCTAATACAACCAAAAAAATATTAACTAACATTTGATACCAGTGTAGTATATAGTTATACCAACAGGGTATACAATTGTACGCAAAGAGTTAAAAAAAGTTTAATTCAATTATTAAACTGAAATAATATCAGTTGTCAATAAAAATTTTAAAAAAATCTAAAAGGATCTAATTGTAAGAGTATACCGTTACATTATATAGCATACTATAATTTTTTATTTTTTTTTGCATTTTCAATTTGCCGCTCACGCTAGGTAAAAGCTTAAAACAAATTAAAAGGGAAAAGGCAAGTGAATTTACGGGTAATAAGAATACTATTATAGTATATTGTATACTATTACAGCATATTGTTACAATATCTTGCATATTATTACAGTATACCATAACAATATATTTGTATACTATAATGGTATACTGTTGTAGTATAACTATATACTCCTATATTATATTAGTATACTGTAGCGGTATACTGTTAGGTATCAGTGTTCTTCTTCGATTATTACTGTAGTCGTGTTCTTCTTCGATTTTCAACTGAAAATTTCGATCTCAATCACCTCAAATCAGCTCCAAGTCTCGACCAAACTGACTCAACATTTAGTTACAGTTGCCAATCGATATTTTAATCACGCCAGTCAAAATCTAATCAAACAATTACAAACTCGACAAATGCAATTTATGATTTTCAAGTTTCAAGGTCTTTCAATGGTTGATCTAATTTTTCTTACAATAAATCACTATGAACTTCTCAAAAGATATTAGAAATAATTATTTGTAACACTAAACGTTCAAATTCTGCTTCGTTGCAGGTACTAATTATTTCGGTTTTGAAAAATTTGCTAATTACTTTTAATATTAATCATTTAATACTCAATTACTAAATTGTTAGAGTTCTACATTCCTTTTGTTAGTTGCATTTGATTTTTTTTTTAATTATCACCGATAAATTAAAATAAAAAATCAGCATAGCTACTAAGTACAGAGAAAGCCTACTTTGAAACTTTTTTATAAAAGAACAATGAGGACATTAACGTTTGGAATCAAATATAAGCTTCGGCCAGAAAGGAAAAAAAGAGAAAAGGAGAAGAAAAAGATGAGGATAAGTGTAGGGCAGTTGTAGTAGATGAATTATGCGGGTAAATACTTTTGGTCGGATAGGTATTTAGTGTAACTAGTTTGAGAGTAGGTAGAAACGGGTAATTATTTTATAGTAGGTAGGTATATAGCATAAATTGCTCTACTAAAAACTAGTAGAAGTCACTTACCTCATGCTTGGTGATGAAAATAGCACTCCAAGGTTGCTCCAAAATCGGCTCCCATGGAAGAAATGAAGTGAAAATTAGCCAAACTTCGATTTTTAAAGAAATCTCTTTGCCTCCAGCAGTTTTCGCTTCTGCGGAAAAATTTCCGCTTCTGCGGTCCCGCTTCTGCGGAAATTTTTCGCTTCTGCGGTTATGACAGCAACCAGCACTTTTCTCAACACGGAAATGAGCATAACTTCCTCATACGATGTCCAAATTCGACGATTCTTTTTGCTATGGCTCCAAAATTACGATACGGATCTAATGGTACAATAAAAACTTAATTTGGAGCTCATTTGCTTAATATGGTACCCTTTTATGTCCAAAGAAACGATGTTGAAACATCAAATAAGAGCGAGATGCAACCCGAAACACACCCGAGGCCCCCGGGACCCCGACCAATCACACCAACCAGTCCTAAAACACATTACGGACTTACTCGAGGCCTCAAATCACATCAAACAACGCTAAAAATCATGAATCAACCCCCAATCCAAGCTTTATGAACTTTAGAACTTCCAACTTCTACTTTCGATGCTTAAACCTATCAAATCACGTCCGATTGACCTCAAATTTTGCACACAAGTCATATTCGACATTGCGGACCTACTCCAACTTTTGGAATCGGATTCCGAACCCGATATCAAAAAGTCCACTTCCGGTCAAACTTCTCAAAAATCTTCAAATTTCTATCTTTAGCCAAATGACTCCAAAATGACCTACGGACCTCCGAATTCACTTCCGATCGTGCTCCCGACTCCAGAATCACCATACGGAGCTATTCATAGACTCGGAATCCCAAACGGACATCGATAACACTGAAATGCACTTCAAGCCAAACTTATAAAATTTCTTCCAAAATGCTAACTTCCACAATAGGCGCCAAAACGCTCCCGGGTCATCCAAGACCCGATCCGGGCATACGCCCAAGACCGAAATTATCATACGAACCTGCTGGAACCTTCAGATTCCAATTCCGAGGTCGTTTACTTAAAATCCAATCTTAGTTAATTCTTTCAACTTTAAGCTTCCGAAACGAGAATTCTCTTTCCAAATCAACTCTGAACTTCCCGAAACTTAATTCCAACCACGCGTACAAGTCATAATACCTGAAATGAAGCTCTTCATGGCCTCAGACTACTGAACGATGTGCCAGAGCTCAAAACGACCGATCGGGTCGTCACATTCTCTCCCACTTAAACATACGTTCATCCTCGAACGTGCTGAAAACTACACTAAAGTAGTCTGAAATCACTGTTTGACTTCTCATGCACCTTCCGTGCCACCACAACTCAGTTGAGCACATCAGCTCGATCAATTATGAAGACATTCCCTTTTATTTAAGCAAGTAAGCCTTAGAGCGCAATTCCAACATCCGGAATTCTATGCCCGGCCTGTTTCCAACATACGATCACCATATCAATCACTACACGCTGTACCCAAACATGACTACATAACTTTGCTGAATTCACACCTTGCATCATTTTACTCACCGGACCACAATAACATTTTCTGATCAACTTAGTCGAAATTCCACGAATCTGATGCTCCTATTGCATCCCATGACATACACAGGTCTTACTCTAACTCTTACAATACCGCCACAACGGAAGAGATGTGCAGAAATTCATAATCAACTGCCGAGTCAACCAATCATTGAGTCTATACTTCTGACAAGAAACATTACCATATTCTGAACCAAATAATGATCTTTGCTCCTTAATATATTTCACGTAATCAGATCGCACTGATCCTAAATCCAACAATCTCGTTTCACCCAGTACGAACTGCTCAGGCAATAAGCCATCCCGACATGACCAAAAGTCTCATATGATGCCACAATGTGCCAATAGGCTACCAATTAGAATGCGATACAAAAAGGAAAATGAACTCTGAAAAGGAATTTCAATTACCCCGCTCGCGAATCATACATGCGACGCGGGCGCACAGCTAATATGAGTTTTCCTCGGAAAATAGGAAACAGAACACATAAAAACAAATATGAGGAACTGTACCGAACACCACACTGTTGCGGTGCGCAACCCGATCCAAACAACATACCCATGATGGCNCATAACGTATAATTTTATTTTTTTAAGAATTTAAATTAAAAAGAAATTAATTATTACTTAACCTAACTAACTTTGTACTTAATTGCCAATGGCCTATTGTGAGGCTATCACTTGGTTTAATGTGGATGCTTTTGCCTGTTCTTTTAATAATAATATAGATAGATTATGCGATGCTATTGTAGATTTATTACCTATTTGTAGGTAATTTTCACAAATTATATTTGATAAATATTTTAAAGATTCGGGAACTAATAATATATAACAGAAGAAATTATTGTTTATCTTGAAAATGGTAATTACAATTAGATTTGATTTTGTGGTTCTAAAAATACGCGATTTATTTTAATGCTAGTTGTTAGGCGATAGATGCTAAGTGTGAGTTAGAAAAGTGAGATAAGAGCTTGAAGGCAGTGTGCAACGCAAACCGAATGGCCGTGAATCGGGGCCTCGAGCTAGCCTGAGCTGGGCCTCGAGGTTGAGCAGATGAGTTCGATCAAGGATGATCGATGAAGGACTAACAGTTTTGGGAGCCTTGATGGTGGCTCTTTATGATCAATGATGAGTAATAAATGAAGAAACAATCAATGAAACGCAATAAATCAAAGGAAAGACAATAGAGAAGGTTTAAGTTAGAGAGCATGGAACGTTCTTATATTGAATATCATGTGTGCAAGAAATGACAAGGGTCCCCTTTATATAGGAGGGGGAATCCCAACATGGTACATGTATGATTATTATAAAGAAACGTAGCTGGTACAGCTATTTACTGGTCTGTACTGGTACAGACTAGTACTATTAGCCGAGGTCGAGCATAGGGAACCCTTGGGGTTGAACCTCAAACTATGCCTCGAGGCTTCTAGAGGCGGGCTGCGGAATGTCATAATGGTCATAAAATCGGGCTCTCCGATTTTAGCCGTATACAGATAGTTCCCGCGTTTCTTAGAGTGAAAACGATAAGAAACGGTCTTGAATTCTTGCCTCTTCGATACTTTCATCATGATGCCAGCTACGCTATATCAAGCGACTGAGGTGACCGAAAAGGTGTCTAAAGGTCGCATCCACGCATCTCTAGAAAAACCTTTGAATTGATTACAACGGTTGGTTGTCTTTTGGCCTGCTCTAACGTACATGATTGGCCTCTAAAAATACTTCTTCC